CAGGGTCTGCTGCCCCAGAGCTCTTTCCCAGGCTCCCAGATGCTCCCCTGGGTTGGTGGCTTCCCGAGCCTGGAGCCACGGGCCCCTCACTGCCTACATGCCTGAAGCCGTCGCCTTCCCCAGACCCAAGGACCATCAAGACTTGTACAGGGTGTCAGTGGAGCAGGGAGATGCCTTCTGGGGAGCGCTAGGGAGGAGCCGGCTTACCTGGATCACCCCCTTCCACTCTGTCCAGGACTGCGACCTGCGCCAGGGCAGGGTCTCCTGGTTCCTGGGTGGGCAGCTGAATGTGACAGGTAAGGAGGGAGATGGACATGGAATCCCACTAAATACCTGCAGGTGCTTCGATGTGTGGGGCTTCAGCTCTGGGAGCATATCAGAAGAGCACAGAGTTAAAGGGTTGGAGTAAGGGGGATCCCCAAAAGATCTGGTTGGTCCTGCAGTGACTGTAGTGTAAGATTGTGGCTGATCCTAAGGGAGCAACTGGAGGTGCCACAGCTGAACTGGGGTGTGCTGGGAGCTGGGCTGACCTCCTTCAGCCTTCATGGATCCCACAACGGCACAGCAGCTCCATTCTGCAGGACCACAGGCAACTGCACTGAACCCCGTGCATTCAGCAGGCAGGGTTGCACTAGGTCATCCCTGCCCAGAGAAGGCAGGACGTATCTGCAGAAAGCAAATACACGAGTAATAAGTCATGCTGGAAGTGCCCACAGTTCATGGAAGGCTCTTCTGTGGTCTGGGGCTACTGCCTTAGAGGGGGATATCAAAGGAAGACATGGGGGCTGGTGACACTTGGTCCCAATGTTCTGAGACAGACCTCCCAGAAAATCAGATCTTATGTGGAAAGGAGAGCAGGAGTTATTTGCCTTTGGGATTTGAGATTTTACTGTTCCCCCTTTCATGTATGTTTCTTTCTCTCCTGGAAAACTACACATGGTCAGGGGAAAAAAAAGCATTTTGGTATGCAAACTGGGTCTGCTGCATCATTCCATGAATTCAGTAGCAGGTTTAAGGATACACAGAGTGGAATAAGGCTTCTGAGGAAACTGCAGCTGCTAGAAATGTGGGAAACTTTTCTTGGCAGAGCTACGGCCAAAGCCTCAGCTTACCGCATCCCTGAAAAGGCAGGGGCTGTGCACTCTGCATTTGCCCTGGCTCTCTTCCATCTTGTACAAATGCACCCTGCAGCCTTCCTGTGCAGAACTTTGCTACATTGGTTATTTAGGGGCTCTGGCACTAAAAAACTGTCCTAGTCCACCCCAGAGGCAGCTGCAAGGCAGCGCTGAGTGGAGTGATGGCTGAGTTAATGTTTGCCAGGCACTCTGAGGGCACTGGGGACATGAACTCCAAAAGGGACTTTAGCACTTTCTGCTCTGGACTGCATGAGGTTGCAGTTAAAGGGGAAGCTGATAGTGGGGATTGGTAGATAATGGAGTGGTGAGGAGTGTAACAGGCTTAGGATGGTGCTTGTGATCTGCTGGCTGGTATCCACAAAGGCTGCACAAGCCTGATGCTGAGAAGCCTCACACACAGGCCTGTCTCTTATCTGAAAACAGGGCTGCTGTTGCTGACTTTATGAGAGGTAACAGATACTGAGGGTTGCTCTGCCAGTGAGACTGGG